ATGGCACATAACAGGAACAACAACATAGGATCTAGCCAGAGAATGCAAAGAACATTACCCTCTTTTACAGAGCAGGAAGGTGAAATCCATAGAGGAAAACATCTATATCAGTTCACACAAAGGTTCTGTTCTGTAGACCCTCATTCGTGCATTCATTCAGCTAGTTTTGATTAATATGTGCTCTGGGTCCAGCCCCATGTTAAGAACTAAGACACTAAGGGAAAAAACAAAAAATGGCAAAAAGGGAGCAGCAATAACATTAGTCCAGTGTGTTCAGTGTGATGATAGATGGTCAATCATAGCCTAACCCAGGGGAGACCTTCTGGAGGAGGAAATATATGAGTTGGGCCCTAAAGCTTAGGATAAGTATTTGTGAGATATCAAAATGGAGCAGAGGATACCACGTCCAGCCCCGACTGATTCTGTCATGTTCTGGAGCATTAGGCAGGTTTCTGGCCTGCTGTGTTCATTGGTGTAAGGAGAGACTGCTGTAGAGACTTCTGGACATCAGGACAAATGAACCATGACTCTGCTGCTTTTTTTTTTTCATCATAATTGAGAGGCCACTCTCTGGGCTTATAAGGCCCAATGTCCATTCTGTGTCCAGTCTGCCAGTGACCCTAAGAACCAGCCTAGAATGGGCTCAGCCAATCTGGACTAAGGCTGCTACACTAAGTACATTTAGACTTTGCTTCTCTGACAGTAGTGAACTCTGTCATTTGTAGTTCCTGAACATTTTTGAATACTCTCCTAAATTTTAATAGTTCCCCACATTGTAAACACTTCCTTCCTAAGGTATAATCCAGAAAATTCACTTTTCCAGCCTCCCTTGAAACTAGGAGTGGGCAAATAACTTACTCTGTGCCAATGAGACACACTCTCATAAGCCTTTGAGTTAAAATCCAGCAATGTAAGGGAGAAGATCCTGCACACAGCATCCATCTTGCTGGTCCAAGGGTGGTAGCAGAAGTGATGGATGATTCTACAGCATGGTTTTGGGAACTGTTCCTGGAACCTGGGCTTTGAGACTTGTTTTTGAACCTCTTCAACAATGTTGTGAGAAACAGGTTTAAAATAATCAGCATAGATTCTGTTATTTATAACCAAGAATTCTAACACCGATTTACTGTACCTCTGCTAAGGGTCTTTCTAGCCCTTTAGTGGGTGTGATATGGGCCTGGCACACAGCATGAAGTATCCCTCTACCCCATTGCTCCATACAGTATCATATGGAAGCTCTGGCTGGTGGGGCTCGGTGAGCTGAGCCAGACCTCTGTTTTTCTTTATTCTAACCACTAAAATCTGGATCACTGGGCTGAAAATCTGGACATAGAAAAGAAGCCACTGAGGAGAGTTAGCTACTCCATCTAGAGCAAGGACCTTGAACATGTAATAAAATGGCCAGAGAGCTGCAAACAATGTTCAACTTACGCCTTTTATGGAATAGTAGTGAGGTTTTTTTCTTTTTCTGAGATTAAAAACAAAGCTCAATATAGAACTTTGAAAAAATACAAAAAAAAAAAA